GTTTGTCTTCCAGGCCCTCCCCTCCTGGTTAGGCTGAAGCAGGGTGGGGGGCTGCTGCTACCAAGGAGGGAGTTGGTGTCAGGCTGAGACTGGGCAGGGGCAGTGCCAAGGCCAGGGTTGTGTCTGGGGCAGGCAGGGTCCAACCCACCCGGCAGGACTCCTACCTGTGCCCCAGGCATGGCCCAAGCCGTAGGGTGGCACCGTCTCCCCGCCAGAGCCCGGCGCGCCCCCCAGCTGGCACCAAGGGTGGAGCACTTAGAAAGGGATGGTAGAGGAGATCCGGGGTGGGGGGGGGCCTTTTCCGGCATGCCCGCCCACACACACTGCTTCCACCGGCCCACGCACGGCACAGAGCACACTCCTAGGGCACAGCCACACACACGGCACATGCACAGACATGCACGGCCCACACATGCACAGCACACGTGCAGACACGCACACACATACATGGCCCAAGCACATGCATATACACACGCCCATACACCCTCACCCAGCTCTCTCATGCACATTGCCTGGGGGCGCAGGGCCGGACCTGGCCAAGTCCCTGACACGCTGTGAGCAGAGCGTGCCCCCCCCTATGCTGTATCCCATGGGGGGGCTGCAGTTGGGCTTCACAGAATCATAGAATCTCAGGGTTGGAAGGGACCTCAGGAGGTATCTAGTCCAACCCCCTGCTCAAAGCAGGACCAACACCAACTAAATCATCCCAGCCAGGGCTTTGTCAAGCTGGGCCTTAAAAACCTCTAAGGAAGGAGATCCACCACCTCCCTAGGGAACCCATTCCAGTGCTTCACCTTCACCACCCTCCTAGTGAAATAGTGTTTCCTAATATCCAACCTAGACCTCCCCCACCGCAACTTGAGACCATTGCTCCTTGTTCTGTCATCTGCTACCACTGAGAACAGCCGAGCTCCATCCTCTTTGGAACCCCCCTTCAGATAGTTGCAGGTTGTTGGCTGGGTCCGTGTGCCAGGTGCCTGTGCCCTCAGCCAGCTGCTGCAGGCCCCAACTGTTAGCCTGTGGCTGGCACGAGCGGGGGGGGGAGGGGGTGTCTCCATTTGCTCAGCCCTGCCCTGAGGGGCTTCACAGAGCTAGCAGGACCCACGGCCTTGTCTGCTCCCCGCAGGGGGGCTGGGCATGGGGCTGGGGGTGGCCCTGCCCCCTCATGGCTCTGCCCCAGGGAGGGGAAGCACTTTATGGCCCGGGGGCCGGGTCCAGACCCTACTGCGAAGGGGATTGCTTGGCCCAGCTTGACTCACCCTGGGCCCCACAGCCCCCATGGTGGTGAGGGGCAGCTGGGGGAGGGGCAGCGCCCCAGCCTGCTGCTAAGTTGCACAGGAGGCCCCTGGGGCCGGAAGCACTAAGTCGGGGGGCCTGCCCCCCACAGGCGCTTTCCTCTACATCAGACATGTATTAACGGGGGGGTGCTCCCCAGATCACTGACCGCCGCCCCCCCAGGAGGTGCCCACGGCATGGGGCTGGGCTGGCTCAGACAGGCACTGGGCCTCGTCGGGCATGGGGGGGACCGGCTCCCAGCCCGCGTGGTGCCTGGGGGCGTTACAAGCCACGGCTCCGTGTGTGTCAGGGGCCAGGGAGCAGCTGGGCCCTGTCCCCGCACCCCGCTTTGGGCCTGGTCCAAGGGGGGGGGCAGGTACACTCCTTTGGGTGCCCCCCACACGCCCACCTGGGCCAGGCATGGCCTCGCCACCCCATGCCAGGGCACCGAACAGAGCCGAGCCTGACGGGCGGGGCAGGTGGCATGCGGCGCCCTGCGGCTGCTCACGCCGCCATTGAAACGAGTTTGGAGGGACGTCCCCACGTCCCCGGGGACAGGGGCCACGGGCAGCGGAGCCGGCCCCACTCCTGCCACCAAGCCAGCAGCTGGGGAATGTGCCAACGGGGGGGGGGCGGGGCCTGCGGGGCCCTGTCGGCACCTTTCCCTGCCCTGCCCCCCCAAGCCGACACGGAGCTGCACTTCTTCCTGCATGGATCCTGTGCCCTGCCCCGTGTGCCAGTGATGCCCACGCTCCTCTTCCCATCTAATCGTTAGCAATACGGTGCTGGGGCCTGGGCCGCGCCGCCCGCGCCAGAGATGCCCCGTGTAGAGTTTTAAAGTCTGATAGATTTTAATGAAATTTATATTCCTGCGTCCGTGTGCCGGCTGCCTTTCGTTGGGGGGGGGGGCACGCATGAGAGACCCTGGTACCCCGCCCCCACGGCACTGCCTGCCCAGGCCTGGCCCAGTGCAGCGGGGAGATCGACGGGTCCTCAGGCCCCGATCCCAGGCACCAGGCCCTGCCCCACAACTCACTGGCGCTGGGCACAGGCACCCGGCAGGTCCCAGCTCCTAGCCCCATGCCGGGGGGGCAGCTGTGTGGGTCCTGCAGCTGTGTGGGTCCAGGGTGGGTGAGGGCAGGGGGCCCCACAGAGAGGGCACGGGGCCAGCCTGGGGGCAGGAGACCCAGCCCCAAGGGCCCATCCTCCCCAGAGGCAGGAGCACTGAAGTGCCCAGGCAGCTGCCCGCCCCCCACTGCCCCCCACCCCCACCTGAGCACGAGGCCAGTGCACCCTGCACAGCTCCCCACGCACCATGGCAGGGGGCAGCCAGGAGGGGACGCTGCAGGCCGGGCCCAGTGCTCAGCTCAGGAGCTGCCCCCCGCGACACGGCGGGGGCTGATTGGGGGGGGGGGGGCAGAGCAAGGCTGAGCCGGGGACACAGGGACCCAGCAGGGCAGGAGTCAGCGCTGGAGCTGGGGGGAGATGGGGCAGGACCCCCTCCCCGTGCCAGCCTGCCCCGGGCTCCCCTCCCCATGCCCCAGGGCGGGCGGGCGAGGCTCCCTGCACTAGCTGGGCCCCGGGCAGCCCAGCAGCCTGAGGTGGCGGCTGGAGAGGGGGCGCAGGGGCGGGCGCTGCTCTGGGGGTGGCGAGGGGAGGAAGGCCAGGCTGGGCCCTGGTGCTGCTGGCAGGGGCACCAGTCGGCTGCAGGCTGGGCTTGCAGGAGGGACCCCAGCTCCCCGGGGTGATGGCGTGGCCAGGTCCCGCTGCTCAGCATCACTGTCCATCTGTCCTTGGCCAGGGGCCCAGCCGGGGGTCGCAGCCCCTCCATGGAGCTCCCCAGCCAGGCCGCCCACACAGCAGATGCCCTCGTCGGGGGGCACTCGGCCCAGCGCAGTGCCCGGGGCTCGCGGTGCTGCTTCTCTGCGGCCCAACAGGGACGGAGCGGCTGGTGCCAGGCAGGGGGACACGCTGACGGGGCAGCTGCAGACAGGGAGACGGTGCCATCAGCAGAGCCTGGCCGGGACGTAGCACCGTCCACCCTGCCCCGCCCCGCCCCACCCCACCCCACATCCCAAGCCTGAGACAGGCTAAAGCCCTGGCACCGCCCCAGCCTTCAGCGATAGCCCGAGAGCCTGCGATAATCCAGCAATGGGCCCCCCTGCCACCAGCACTGCCTACGTCCCTCACTCCGACCCGCTGCCCCCGGGGGGTCCCAGCCTGCCCCCTGCAGCCCTCCCGGTGCCCCTCACTCCTCCCCGGAGCCCTCTGGGGTCCCAGCCTGCTCCCCTCACTCTGACCCGCTGCCCCCCGGCGGTCCCAGCCTGCCCCCTGCAGTCCTGCCAGTGTCCCTAACTCCAACCCACTGCCCCCTCTGGGGTCCCTGTAGCCCTGTCGGTGCCCTGCAATCTGACCAACAGCCCAGCCCACCCCATCCCTGGGGCCCCCTCTCTGCCCCACACGCACAGCCCTGCCGGTGCCCCTCAGTCCCAAGCCTGAGGTGCTTGTATTTGCTGGTACGCAGGGGTCCCCCTGGGCAATTTCCTCAAAGGGGGTTACCTGAGCTGTCGGGGGGCCGCAGGCTCAGGGCGCTGGACCCCCTGGGAGAGGCCAGGCCTGGGGTCCAACTGGCCCAGCTGCAGGTCCCGCTCCATGGCTCGTCTCTGCTCCTGCAGCTCTGCACAGAAGGGAAGCGCTGGTGAGAGGCAGAGTGAGCTCACCTCCCTCAGTGCCACCGGCTCAGCCTGCTCCTGGCTGCCCTGCACTACTGGCATTGTCCCTGTGTGGCTGTTAAACACCCCCGCACCCCTCCCCAGAGCCAGCTGCATCTCCGTGCTGGGGACGTGGCGGGGAGGCTGGGCCGGGGCACTGGCTGTGTGCTCCCCGTACGGGCCCTCCCGGGAGAGGTCGGGCAGGTCCCTTACCAGCCATCGTTGGCTCCTGCGCCGGCTGCACTGGCCCCGTGGCGGCCCGGTGTTCCTCCTCCAGGCAGCGCTGGGGAGAGGGGGAGAGAGTCAGAGCTCGGCCTGCCCCATTGCCCTTGGGTGGGGGGGGCATGTTTGTTATTGTAGGGTCTCTCAGAGCAGGGTGGGGCCCCTCCCACCCCCACCGATGGACACCCACCCCGGGAGGGCCTGCAACAGCCGCCCCTGCACTGAGCGCATCCAGGGGCTGGACTGTCCCGCGGGGGCTGGCACTGGTCCCTCACCATGGCACTGCCCGGAAAAGGCCCCGTGAAATATTTCACCAGCGCACGCTGCACTGGGAAACCCAGAATCCAACCAGGCAGCGGCCGAGGCCGCCGGCCCCCAGCAGAGGGCGCTGCCGCTTCACTTGGCCACAAACCCCTCCCCAGCACAGAGCCACAGAACCCAGGAGTCCTGGCTCACAGCCTCCCCCCACCCCACTTCTACCCAGTAGCCCACGCTACCCCTCGCAACCCCTACTGCACGGACTGCTCTGAGAGCTGCTGTTAGGAAGGGCTGCCCGGGACTGGGACACCCCCTGTGCTGATCCAGGCACCTGGGGATCTCCCAGCCCCTGCCCATTACAGCTCTTGCAGTGCCCGGGGCCACAGCTGTGCTCTGTGGGGCTGGCAGGACCAGGCAGGCCCTGGGTCCGGGCCTGCGGAGATCTGCAAGAAGCTGCCCCCTCTCTCAGCGCAGCCAGTGCGAAGGCCCCAGAGACCCCCACCTCCCGACATCTCAGCTCAGCCCACGCCCCAGCCACTCCGGGGGGCAGCGACGGCAGGTGCCCACCACTGCACCTTCAGGGACCCCACGAGAGCGCCCCCCCCCCCC